GGCTAAATAGTATTTTTGCTCAGGTCGTCTCATTTGATAAGGTGTGAAAGTGCCGTCACCTTTGTAGGAAACCTCCAACCTCCTCCTAGACCAGTGATTTTCAACCGGTGTGCCACGGCACACTGTTGTGCTAGGAGACGATCTTAGGTGTGCCTCAAAAAATGTATGAAGATCATTAACTAAATTATTTTCAAAAGACCTTCAAAGCACAGTAAGTATATTGTTTGCATTCTTTTTTTGGATCAGCATCATTTAAGCGTCCCCTGGAACTTTTAACTATAGGTTCAAGAGTGCTGTGAGATTTAAAAAAAAAAAAAAAGTTGAAAAACATTGGCTTGGAAGTTGACTCTGGGGTTGCTGTCCAGCTACCTCTTCCTGGGGGTCTAACCCAGCCTGCCTTTCCCCACACCCGTCATTCACCTCTGTTCCATAAGCTGTGCAACTCCTCCTCATCCTGGGGCGAGCTGCCCAGAGCTCCCATGTGAGACGCAGCCTGCTTGCATACCAGGCTCTGCAGTTCCCAGGGCTGCCTCATGGTATTTTAATTGGCGGCTATTTGAAATTCCCTTTGGCTTTCTCCATGCACAGCCTGTCACTGTGTATGACCTGAGTTTCCTACTCTCAGTCCCTGAGGCCTCTTGGGTTCCTGGGTTCCTGCTGTTCAGACATAACTTCTTGTTATCTTTCCCAAGCACCAGTCGGGAGAGAGACCTCAGGGTGAGTTTTGTTCACCTGGTTTCCAGCATGTCCTTTCCATACGGTTAAATTCAATTCTAAAGTTTAGCTGCTCTGAAAGCCACTGTCTGTCACTTTATGTGCCTCTCTGAGACCTCTATAAATAAATCTGGAATATGACCTAGGACTACATTTTAAGTCTTCCAAACACCCTCTCTTTATTTACTGAAAATCTGTTTAACTATTTTCACATGATATGTTAATAAATGTCATTGTATTCCTAGAGATTATCCCAAGAAGATTAAAGGTCACACTGCCCCACTGGGTCTCATAAATCACAAGTGCCCTCAAATTCAGGAAAATTCCTGCAAAGTTGGAATACTTCTCCAATGGCCTAGAGAGAATTTATAACCAAAGCCTTACAACTTTTAAGGAGATTTCTAGGGGGAAATACCAGGAGGAACTCAATCTGCACATACACACAGAAAGTGGGGTCTATGGGACCTTCTTTTGCACTTATGAGAATGGGCCAGAGATGACCCACTACATTCTCAACTCTTTAAAGACAGCCCTGTATACATGAAAGCACCCTCATAAGGGTATAATTATAGCTGGACAGCAACACCGGAGTCAACGTCCCTCATAATAGCACCCTCATAAAGGATTCCAGGCCTCTGGAATTGAAAGAAGCTGGTGGCTTTTCCAACTGAAGAACCCTTATCTCCTGAGAGAGCTCTTCCTGGGAGACTGGCAGGACGAAGAGGATTCATGGCCACAGCAAGTCAGCTATATGCAGCAATGAAGCAGTGTTTCTTTTCTCAGATCATCTTTTGGGTACACACTTTACAGCTAATGCTTTCTGTGTGTCCCCTCAATGGTCTCTCTGCCTCACAGTCCTTGGAGGGAGGTCCGCGTGTACACAATCGCAACTTCACACACTTCCAAGTTCCCTTCCTTGCTTTGTTTTTCTCTACACTGCGTTCACATTCTAATATGTTGCATGACTTTTCATTTTCTTTTCTGTCTGTGTGCACCAGAAGGTAAGCCCCAGGAAGGCAGCCTATTCACTGCCACTTTCAGGGAACTCAGAGTGAGGGGATGAATGAATGAATAGACAAAGGGAGGCCTGGACAGGATAAGTGACTTTCTGTCCATCACAAGAGCAGTCACTGAGGGACAGAGGCTGAACCCAGGCCCTGTGCTGGGTGCTGACACACTGGATGAGCAGTGGTGGTTGTGAGGATTAGAATCTAGGCCAGACTCCAAGAAAGACCATGCAGCACTTAGTGAATGGTTGACTAGCAAAGAACTGCGTGCAAAGGAAACCAGTGGTGTGTAAAAGGAGTAGGGACATAAGTTCAACGTCCGATCCTTGACATCTGTGGGGAGGGTGAAACAAAAAATGTGAAGCTGGATGGAGTTCGGCAGTCAAAATGCAAAACCCGACCTTGGAATCCTTCACATTTTGACAGGCAACAGCAACAGGGAGGATGGTGTCCGTAACACTGTAATCTGCGCAACACTGTAATCTGTGTATGTGGCAATCCTTAAGGGTCTGGCCTCAAGTATCTTTTGCTACCGTGTGACCTCAGGCAAATTCTTTAATTTCTGTGCATGGGGATAATTTAATCTCCGTAAATGGGGACAGTTTAGGGGTTTTCCTAAGACTGACCAAATATTATAAATGTAAACACAGAAACAAGACCCTGCCTGTCACAGTTCTGTTCTGTCCTTTTGGTGTGGCTGGAGAACAAGTTTAAAGAGTGGACAGTAGGGAGAAGTCAGGAAAACAGCTGGGTGCATTTTTTCTGTTAAACATGCTACAGGATTTTGAGCCTGGCCCGGGACATCTGCTTTTCTCGACAGCTGAATAGGAATGAATTAGTGTCTAGGTAAGATTCTCAGAGGGGTTTGCTGCAGAAAGGCAAGTCAGGAGATCTCAAAGGGTGCCTCTGGGATGTAAAGAAATGTCCCCCCAGACCGAGACCATTTTGCAGATTCTCCATTCAGAACCATACAAATATTACTGGCAGCTAATAACACAGCATCACCACGTCAGAGAACGTCACTGTACCCATTTTATCACGACAGCAACCCTAGGAGGCAGGTATTTTTAACTCCACTCTAACAAGGTGGAAAACTGCAACTTACATGATTTAAACAAGGTCGTACATCTAGAAAGAGATGGCGGGTGGGGGGGGGGAAGCACCATTCAAAGTCGGGCCGCCCCACTCAAGGGATTCTTAACCTGCACTTCTTAGGAAGGTGTGGTCAGAATGACATTCTATTAAATAAGCCAGGAAGGGCTGACATTCCGGTGGCGATAGGGTAAAAGGAAATTTTTCGATCTTTCAAGTTGCAGAGTGTTGCGATTACACTCTCAAATCTATGCTCAAGCTCAGGTAACCGCACTTTTAAACGAGGTAAGGAGAAACTCGACCTTTCTCCCGCCCTCAGCTGTTGGAGGTCCTGGCTCGTAAGATTTGCTCTTCTTAGATCCTCTGAAGGGCACCTTGCCTCTTCCCTTCCTGTCCTCTGATCCCAATGAGTGACACGTCTGGGTGTGGGAAATTGTGAGAGGGAGGAGGACTGGGGGCGTCAACTCCAGCGCAGGCCTCCTCCAGCTGCAAGAGGAAGATGCCTCGTGAAACACAGGAGTTCTGTTCCAAGGGCTGCCCCGAAAAGGCGCGGAGGGACGAGCGCGGCAACCCCCACCTTCCCCGCTCCTCCGGGGCGGCCTGCCTGCAGCAGAGCTCCAAAATTGGCAACCCGGGCCCCGCAGCCGCCTTTTTATAGCCCACATTTCCCAAACCAGGGAAGAGGCGGCTAAAAATGCAAATCGCGGCGGGGGCGTCAGCAGGCAGCCCCGTGGGTGCCGGCCGTCGGGCGAGGGGAGACACCGCGACCTCAGGCGCCCTCGCCGTGTTCCCGGTGGGCGCGGAGCTCAGGAGGGAAGCTCCGAGAAGCCGCTCCCCGCCGGCCGCAACCCCCGCTTCCGCCTCCCGGGCAGCGGCGGGACAATGCGCTGCCTCTTTTCCGCCGGGGCTTAGGGAGGGGAGGCCGGATTAGGGCCCGCGCCTTCCGGCCACAGCCCTCCCGCGCCGCGCCGGCCGCACACAGGTGGTTTTCCTCGGGGGAGGGGCAGGCCTCGGCACTTTTATATAACAATGGAGCTCTGCGCGCCGGGACTGCGCCTCCCCGCCGCCGCGGCCCCCGCCCGGCCACGCCTCCATCCGGCTTCCAGTCGGCCCGCCCGCCCCGCGGCGCCGCGGCGGAGCGCCTGGCTGGCCCGGCCCGCACCTCCACTAGTTACCTGCTGGCTCTGGAGAGTGACAGACACGTTCCCCGCGATTCCTTGGGAGCCAGGAGCCGGCGGGTGGGAGGCCCAGCAGGCATTCTTCCCCACCCGCCCGGGGCCTCTCAGGAGCCTGGATTCCGGCGGTCAGCTTCGCACTAGTCCACTCGGCCGGATGCCCGCCGAGCGAGGCGGTGGGGGCAGCCGGGCGGTGGCACGAAGCGTAGCGCGCAGGCGCCGCTGGTGCTCCCTGGAGTGCGAGTGCTCCGCGCTGGACTGGGGAGGGGGCGGCGGTGTGGGCGGGGGCGGGGGGGCGCCCCCCCATCCCAGACCTCCCTGTTTACTGTAACCAATTGTCGAGCCCGCCTGCTGAGCCCCCGCAGACTGCAGGCCTTGCGGGTAACTAGGACAGCCAGCTCGCCCGACGGAGCCCAGTACTCCTTTCCCTGGCAGCCTCGCCAAACTGGCTCCCCGATCAGTAGCCGAGCTCCTTGCCCAGAAATCATTAACGAGCACGACCCCCAGCTCCCTCGATGGGGAGGTGACTTAGATCCCCGGAACAATGGCTGATAACTCCCCACTCCGCTGGAGCGGAATACTGTAGAAGCATTGGACTGCCCAGAGAGTTTCTGCACGCTACACTTTCCCTTTTTTACATAAAACGCTATTGAACGATCAACAAAAAAGCTTTCTTCTGGTTTTCTGGACAACTAGACATTTGTTTGCTTGCTTTAAAATGTTACAATAAAATCCTAGTTTGTTTTGAAAGATGTTGGATTAGCATTTAACACCTCCTCGGTCACTAAAGCCCAGTTAGTTCACCAGCCCCAACACAGTCTCGGCTAAAAGAACATCAGAGCAAACAGAGCTGGGCTTTTTAAACTGGCAAACGAATGCCACACACAGCCTAAAAGAGGGCGGGGGGTTACGGCGAACTCCGGTCCAAATGAGTTTGAAGGAAATAAAAAGAAAAAAAAAAGTCAGCACCAGTTTTCCTAAAGCTAGCTCGCGAGCACAAGCGTCGCGAACAAGGGCTTTTGTGCATGCTAATTGCACCATTTGTGCGCAAAAGTTCCGACGCAAAGTGTGAACTCTCAACAGAAGGAAACATGAGACAACTGAAGTGCCCTGGTTTATGTGCCCCGCTCCTCCTCCGCTGCCGCCGCCTCTTCTTTCTCCTTCCTCCCGCCGAGTCCGCTGTTGCAGCTTGTTTGCACTGGGGCTTATCCGGAGCGGAAATTCCTTTCCGTTTTTGTGAATGACAAACTCATTAACAATTCATCAACACAACCTGTTCCAGCCGGCCCGTCCCCACGGCAACAGCCCCTTCCGCAGCGCGTTCATTGGCTGGCGGGGAGAATGTATCCATTGAGACGCTCGCTGTTTGTATCCATTGAGGAGCTGCCTAGCGCAGGGGGTGTGCGAGGGCTGAGTCTAAGGGACAGTGAGCAAATCGAGTCTTGAATAATCCGGGGAGAAAGACTCCCGGGTAGATTTGAGGTGCAGCTTTAGAGGGAGGGATTAGGAGCCGCTAGACTTTTTTTCCTCTTCTCTGGGTAGCACGGAGTCCGAATTAATTGGATCTCATTCACTGGGGAGGAACAAAACTGCCTGGGCAGCTTCATTCAGAGAGATTCATTGACACTAAGAGCCAGCGGCTGCAGCCGGGTGCAGAGGAAACCGCCGGCTTTACTTCAGTCTCGCCTTCCCCAACCTCCAGCCTCGGCTTGGGTAAGGCGAGGCAGAACTAAACTCCGCTCCCGGAGCGAGAGCGGCGGCTTCGCGCGGTGCGCTCAGCCTATGCCTGCCCCGAGGGGCGTCTGGTAGGCACCCGCCCTCTCCCGCAGCTCGACCCTCATGATAGATACGCTCAGACCCGTGCCCTTCGCGTCCGAAATGGCGATTAGCAAGACGGTGGCGTGGCTCAACGAGCAGCTGGAGCTGGGCAACGAGCGGCTGCTGCTGATGGACTGCCGGCCGCAGGAGCTGTATGAGTCGTCGCACATAGAGTCGGCCATCAACGTGGCCATCCCGGGCATCATGCTGCGGCGTCTGCAGAAGGGCAACCTGCCCGTGCGCGCGCTCTTCACGCGCGGCGAGGACCGGGACCGCTTCACCCGGCGCTGCGGCACCGACACGGTGGTGCTCTACGACGAGAGCAGCAGCGACTGGAACGAGAACACCGGCGGCGAGTCGGTGCTCGGGCTGCTGCTCAAGAAGCTCAAGGACGAGGGCTGCCGGGCGTTCTACCTGGAAGGTACGTGCCCGGGAGCTCCGCGCTCGGGTCCGGGAGAGGGGCGTGGGGCTGCGGGCTGCAAATGCCTCTGCTGCGCTCGGCGGCGCCTCTGCACCGGGCTGTGGGTTGGCGGCCACCCGCCGGCTGGGGAGGGTCTGTGAGCCGCGTGCGCTCCGCACCGCAGAACTAGGCCCCGCGCGCAGTCCACCCGCTTCCGGCCGCAGGCGCCGCTGGCTTCTTCCTAACGAGTTCTGAGTCTTTTTAACCCACAACATTCTCCTGCTTTTTACCGTTCAGTTTTGAACTGAAACTTACAGGATGGGAGGGAAGTTCAGATCGAAACCTCCTGGCTTCTCAAAAATACTTAAAAAGTTGCAATTAATGGGTATTTCCGGATTCAAAAGATTAAGGGTTCCCGGGGGAGGCTAGCCCGTTGGTTCGGTTCTTGAGGGCGCCTGTGTAAGTGTGTTTCTCTTACATATATAGCTCTCCTTGTAGAGGGGTTTGTAGGGTGCTCGAGTTGTTTCTTGCGCCCGGCTGCGGTTCCCACAAGCTGTGAAAACTACTACGACCTCTCGGGTTACACGATCGTTTTTCTCGTTCTGGCAGGTGGCTTCAGTAAGTTCCAAGCCGAGTTCGCCCTGCATTGCGAGACCAACCTAGACGGCTCGTGCGGCAGCAGCTCCCCGCCGCTGCCAGTGCTGGGGCTCGGGGGCCTGCGGATCAGCTCTGACTCCTCCTCGGACATTGAGTCCGACCTCGACCGAGACCCCAATAGTGCAACGGACTCGGACGGCAGCCCGCTGTCCAACAGCCAACCTTCCTTCCCGGTGGAGATCTTGCCCTTCCTCTACTTGGGCTGTGCCAAGGACTCCACCAACTTGGACGTTCTGGAGGAGTTCGGCATCAAGTACATCTTGAATGTCACCCCTAATTTGCCGAATCTCTTTGAGAATGCGGGAGAGTTTAAATACAAGCAAATCCCTATCTCGGATCACTGGAGCCAAAACCTGTCCCAGTTTTTCCCTGAGGCCATTTCATTCATAGGTGAGACTAATTAACAGTTTTCGCCCTGACATTTAAATGCAAAACGCCCAACCATTCATGGAAGCTAAGCTGTTAATCGTTCTTACTGCTTGCTGATTTGTGGTACTGCAGGTCTCTATAATGTTTTAAGTGTGCAGGTCTGTAATTCTTACATGTGGTTTATCTTCTTGCTTAGGAAAGAAAACGTGCCTTTTGGCTGTAGACCACAGGTGTAATTGAAAGGCTGTTTCTTGGATCTTTGAATTCAGTGACTTGAAAGGGGGCGCGTTCATGATCAGACCACAGATCTTTCCCACAGTCTTTGGACTCAGGGGAAGGCTAGAGAGAAGCAATTGCTGTAGACAGGAATTCTAGCATTGCTTTATAATTTAAAAGACCTTGGAGTTATTTTAGGACATCAAGTGAGTTGTTGGAAAGCGGTATGAATGCTAAATGTTACCCAGTTGAATGATACTGTGATACTGGTAACAGTGAGACTGTGGGTAACCTTAGCCCAGCAGGAAGAACTGTGGGCTGGAAGCCTGGGAGAAGTGAATCTCCAGGCATTGTAATGCATTTCCTATTACAAAGGAACTCATTTTCAGGCCATGTCGACATCCTGTTCCTCCTAATGGCTGTCCCCTGTGACTTCCCTCTCTCTTTTAAAATGCCTGAATACCTCCATTGTTAGCTGCACAACATTTGGAGAATAATTTAATAGACCCTTGCAGTCTGCTTGTCTGTATAAAAGGCATTCACAACCATATTGCAGGGTTTCTGCTATTCACATGCTGAGGCAAAGAACGCACACATTTAGGATTTTTTTTGTTGGCAGAAATGTAGTACAAAAGCTCCCTTCTCAGAAAATATCTGAAATATGTAATTGTGTCCAGTGTACACGTTTTGTCTCAGTGATGTAATTTCTGCTGCCTGCAGGGCAAAACTGCCACACACGAGTATTTTTTATCTTTTTTATTTTGTTTTTTTAAAGTTCGGCTTTTAGACCGATCATTCGCAAGGATGCTTTTCCATCTACTAAAGCTTTGCCATTTCTTTTTGTGTTCACAGATGAAGCTCGGGGGAAAAACTGTGGTGTCTTGGTGCATTGCTTGGCTGGCATTAGCCGCTCAGTCACTGTGACCGTGGCTTACCTTATGCAAAAGCTGAATCTGTCAATGAATGATGCCTATGACATTGTCAAGATGAAGAAGTCGAACATCTCCCCTAACTTCAACTTCATGGGCCAGCTGCTGGACTTCGAGAGGACGCTGGGACTCAGCAGCCCTTGTGACAACCGGGTTCCATCACAGCAGCTGTATTTTACCACCCCCTCCAACCAGAATGTCTACCAGGTGGACTCCCTCCAATCCACGTGAAAGGCCCCACGCCCTTCCTCCCTAGGATATGTCCGTTTCTTCAGCAGTTTCTCTTGGCAGCATCAGCTGGGCTACTTTCTTTATCTGTGGCCCCAGGTGTCAAAATGACACCAGCTGTCTGTATTAGACAAGGTTACCAAGTGTGGAATTGGTTATTACAAAGAGAGATTTGCTCCATTCTCTTTGGAAGAACAGGACTTGCTGTATAGATACAGGCACTAGGCTTGCTCTGCACCCATGTATACAGCCTACCCATGCAGGGACTGGGATTCGAGGACTTCCAGATATATAGGGTAGGACCAAATGGTAGGGTAGGAGCATGTGTTCTATAGGGCCTTGTATGGCTGTTTCCTTTTGATTCTGGAACTGACGATATATTGTCTTCAGTGAAGACTGATTCAATTTTGCATATAGAGGAGCCAAAGAGAGATGTCAGCTCTGGATTTTGTGGTATCAGTTTAGAAGAAAAATCTGATACTCTATTCGATTATTGTAAATATTTGATCTTAAATCACTTGACAGTGTTTGTTTGAATTGTGCTTTGTTTTCTTCTTTGATGGGTTTAAGAGAAATTATCCAAAGGGCGAAAGAGCAGTTTGCCACTTCTTAACACACAAAAAAATGGAAAATTTTGCTCTTTTCTAATCCAAAGGGTAGACTTGCAGCATGTTTGATATTACAATTCTGATGACATCTTCATGGACATAGTTATTACCAAGCCCTTGTTATGGCGCAGTCTCTAGTCTCTTCCATGTATCTTCCTCATGATTTTTTCCTCTTAATGTAGTTTGACTATGCCTTACCTTTGTAAATATTTTGGCTTATGTTGTCTCGAAGGGGGATATCTTGGAAAGACACCAAATCATGGGCTCACTTTTTTTTTTTTAAAACTTCAGCTGTGCTAAACAGTTTATTACCTCTGTATAAAATTCTTCAGGGAGTGTCACCTCAAATGCAATACTTTGGGTTGGTTTCTTTCCTTTTTAAAGAAAAATTTGTACAAAACTGGAAGTGTGTGTGTGAGCATGGGTACCCATTTGATAGGTGAAATGCATACGATTGTGAAGGAAGGAGAGTTAACATTGCTCCATTACGTTCGTGGTGTAAAGTTTTGAGCTGGAATTTATTATAAGAATGTAAAATCTTAAGTTATTAATAAATAACTATTTTGGCTATTGAATGCGTATTTTTTTTAAAAATCTCTTAATTGTACTTAACATGTGAAGTGACACATTCTAGAAGTTTTTTAGTTGGGGAATACTACTAGCTTGTATGTATGAGCAGGGCAAATTTCTTACTTCCTAAGCTATTCCAAGAATGATTTTCAGGTTCAGTTTGTGAAATTCATCTTTTGCTTCAAATAAAGATGACATCACAGAATGGACAGAGTGTATGATGTATATTGACAATACTTTCTGTGGGTATCATTCTGGCTTATTTAAGGAGATATTTAATGCCCCTGAAAAGAAAGGAAGCCACATAGCATAGTTTGCTGAGGAAATAAGATTTGGATATTCATGAACAGCCCTAACCAGGTGTATCAGAATAACAAGTTGATAGCCACATATTAACCTCTCTATTCTTCACATCAAGACCCTCTGCTCAATAATGTTCAGACATGTCAGGAAGAAAGTAGGGAAAATTTTGTTTCCAGTGTGCTAACCATCTGGCATTTCTTCTCTTTCCTTTTTTTTTTTTTTTTTTTTGAGACAGAGTCTCACTATGTCACCTTTGGTAGAGCACAGGGATATCACAGCAACCTCAAACTTGGGCTTAAGTGATTCTCTTACCCTACCAAGTAGCTGAGACCACAGGTGCCCTCCACGATGTCCAGCTATGATTTGGTTGGAGTTACTGTTTTTAGCAGGCCCATGTCAGGCTGGAACCCACCAGCTTCAGTGTGTGTGGCTGGTGTCCTTACTGAGCTACAGGCGCTGAGCTACCATCTGGTATTTCTACTTAGAGATAGCCTAGTGTTGGAATAATAAATCCAAAATGGTGTCTCCATTTCTTTCCCTGTGCAAGACATGTGTAAGTTTTCTCATTGAGCCTGGATGTGGCTATGGAACTTCACATGGGCCCTTGAGGTGAATCTTTGCCATCCCTGTGCTCATGTGCTCTTGTGCATAACTGGTTCAGAATGTGGGTCAGAACCCCTACTGAACCTTGTAGAGATTATTTTGAATGGTTTTCAAGCAGACTTAATATCCTGTTATTTTCCTTGAGAACTCCCCTTTCCCAAGTATAAAAATACACAACCCCCTGCACCCCCAAAAGGAAAGGGTGAATGTTTGGAATCTCAAGAACTAGATCACATTTTGGGCTCTTTTCCCATGAGCTTGGTCTCCATGGGAGGAGGGGGTCGAGCTTTTTCCCCACATGGCACAGGTGAGATGTGATTGCACTGCTTGGTCATCTATGTTTTAGGAGGCAAGTGGCCCTCCTTCCATGGCAGTCCCTTCAAACTGTCCAGTGTGATTTTTAAGCAACTAAGTCTAAGAAGAAAACAGTGCAGAAAAACACCAGCTCCGTCTCTCCTATTTGGGTGTCCCAAGTCAGCAGGAGCACAGAAAGGAGAAGTGGATTGCAGTTCCACTTGGCTCGTGTTAATCCAGCTCTGAAACGGTTTCCGCCCCTGGCATTCCCTAAACTGCCTGTTCAAAGTAGGGATTTGCAAACAGCGTTAGCAATTTCCTGTCCAGCTGCAGCTCAAGTAGCTGGGTGCTTTTCCTCCCCTTTTCTCTGATTTCTTTTCTCTTTCTTTTTCCTTCTTTCTTTCTTTCTTTTTTTTTTTTTTTAAATATGGGCTGTGGATAATTTTAGTGCATTTCCTCTTTGTGGATTATTATCTCTTTCCTCCTAGAACCTGCATACACCGAGTTCCTACGGGCCGGGCTGGGGCCGACAGCTGGCCTCCCCAGCACTTCCTCTCGCTTCACTGTGGGTTTGTTGTTTGTCAGTCCACTTCTGAAATTAATAATGTTTTCTGGCCAAGTGCCACAAGCCATTACCGCAAAGGGGAAGTAACACATATGAATAGCAGGAAGCCATGCAGGGTCACAGTGTGAGCTGAACCTGTGGAAGGAGCATAATTGAGCCTGCCCCATTCAGCAAGTGTCTGAGGGCAATTTGGGGAGAGGGCCCTTGCTGCATTTAAGCAGCTCAAGCTGTGAAAAAAAAAAAGTTTCCAATAAATTGGGAGCAAATGGTCTTTGTCACCCGTCTGAATAAAGGAGGGAGAGTAAGAAGAGTTTAGCCCCCCCCCCCCCGTAAAGTTGCAGTGTTTTGAGCTCCCCCCACCCCCGTATATTGTTTCATAAGGCTGGTGAACAGAGGGGTGCCTGTTTCTCTCTATTCCCACAAAAGGACTCATGTTAAATGGGTGGCTTTACGGTTCGCCTAGGCCTGAAGATTCAAAGAGCTATTCTCTTTCCTCCTTGTATGGAAGGTGGACGGTTGTAGCTGACGGCCTGGGCCCCCACCTCGCTCAGCCGCCCTTTCTTCCCGCTGGACCACGGCTCCTCTGGTTCCTTTGTCCTCGCAGGAGCTGCGGGAAGGCGATCATTTTGCATCTTGGAGTTGGGCATGCTTCCTGCATGGAGCCCGCACGGTTACTAGGGCAACCTTTGCCAGCAGCTGCAGTTCCACCGCCTCCCTCCTCACCTGCTGTCCCCATTAGCGGCTTCCTCAGGTCTCTGAGAAAGTGCTACCTTTCCTGCCTTCTGAGAGGGGCCGGGCGGTGAGGAGGGCTTTGACAGAGCAGGTTATCTTCGGGTTTTGTGGGAGCCACGGGGGGGGGGGCGGCTTAGGGAATGCGTGGACAATGGTGTGGACTGCTCTTACAATTAAAATCAGAATGAGAAAGGGTTATTTGGGGATAAAAATACCAACACAGTCTTCAAAGGAATGAACATGGAGACTTGCTCTGACCCGACAGTTCAAAGCCCTACACTGGCACTACTGAACTCGGTAGCCCTGGGCAAGGCACGCAGGTTCCTTTATTCTGGTTGGTAAAATGAGGGAGTCTTTGCTTCTCAGTCTTGGATTCTCTTATAATTTCAGACTTCTGGTTTGGATTGGTGACACCAACTAAATGATAAAATTAGATGCCGGCGGGGGGCAGTGGCGGTGAGCCAAGAAAATCACATTTGTTATGGGGACTTTGGGTATAATATCACCTCATTTAATATTCAGAACAGCCCTGTGAGATAGGTCCTATTATTATCTTTATTTTCCAAAGAGTAAATCAAGGCAGAAAGAGGCCAATAAAGCCCAAAGCCCCTTCTATGGGATATCTAATGCACGCACTGTTAGAAAAGGTGTGGGTCCTCACTGCTTGGTACCTCCGGAGCTGAGTGTTGAACCTTGGGCTCTTCCTGTTGAAAACTGCTTGCCATCCATATTTGCTCCTCTTTATAAAGTCCTATGGTGCCAGCTAGAGAGTGAGGAAGAAGAGGTTTAAGTGACCTGCCAAAGCAAACTTGACTTCAATCCCTAAATCCAAGGAGGCCCCAGCGGGTGCACTCACCTGCCAGAGAGACATCCCCCTGGAAGCTTCCATCCTCCCTTTCCACAGAGAAATGGCCCTTTCTTGGGCCCATAAATAGCAAAATTGATTTTCCTAAGGATCTCTGAAGTGCCTGCCAGCCACACAGCCTGGCCCTTACCTGACCTTTGCCCATGCTCCCCTTTCAGGATTACACAAGTAAACTGGCCCCAGAGAAGTGTACTTCCTCTCTCTGATCCCGGCTAGAGGGAAACTAGGAGAGGGAGATGGGGGTCAGGGGAGAGAAGGGGAAGGAAGGCGATATGGTGGAGGTCTGCAGAAAAAGCGGTGAACTGAGCAGCCGATTAGCAAAGAGTGGAGAAGGAGGGTTGGGGAGGAGGACCCCGCAAGGGTAGCTCATGTGGTAGCCAGCTATACAGAATCACCCTCGAAACATCCTCTTAAAAAAAATCAGTCTTCAGACTTTCAGCTGCTTCAAAAGGATGACTCTGAGTGTAAATGTATGGGCAGTTCCTCACACAAGCCACAGTCATTTCCCAAAAGATCCTGCAAGACTTCCAAATACCCTTATTCCTCTGAGTTCTTACTACTCACCTAGCAATTGGGCCTCCATCAGCCCACTTTTGGTGAACAAATCTTCAAACTTCTTCAAAGTCCAAAATTGATTTCCTGAGAGTATTGAAGGGCATAGAACAAAGTTCAAACAATTCACAAATATTTACCCAGGCCCACTGCACTGGTTTGATGAAACAAGGTGAAAATCAAAGGCACCCGAAAACGGAACAGGAGCCCTCACAGGCTGAAGGCAATGTTCTGTTTCTAAATGCAGCCACTTCATCTCTGCTCATGCCCCAAGTAAAAGAGGAATTCTCACGTAACTATTGGAAAAGTGCTTGTGTGTCCCTGCCCACTTAACTAGTATTTGAGACCCTATATTTTGTTATTTGTATAGGAAAGAATGAATAGCCCACCTGCATACAATTTGACTTAGCCGCTTCCCTACTTTGTCCAGAAAACACCACTAAAGAAGCTGTAAATATTACAGAAGTAATAGGAAAGTTTCAAACCATCACACTTTCCAAAATGAACTCTTAGACACCCCAGGGAAAAGTGAAGAAATATCAGCCATTGTTGGTTAATGACCTCCCAAAACAGCCCAAAGCAAGTCTAGAAAAGGTCCCTAATTCTAAATTAGAATTCTCCCTTTCCTGCTTTTGGAGAAAAAGCTGAGGATTTGTTACATTAAGTATTTTTCATTGAGTCCAAATTAATTCCTACTGCAAATACTAACAGGAAAAAAAACGAAGAGAGAAGGAGGAGAAGGGGGTCTTTGGGACAATTACAGCAGGAATGCCCTTTTATCTTATGTTCCAGTTACTTATTGCTACATAGCAAAGCACTCCAAACTTAGCAGCTTCAAACACCAATCATTTACTTTGTTCCTAAGTCTGCCTGTGAGCAGGGCTGGTCAGGGAAGGCCGGTTTCTGCTCAGGGCAGTATTGCCTGGGACAGCTCCCCTGTGGGCCAGAGGATCCATTTCTGAGCCCGCTCACACTCACATGGTTGGCAAGGTGCTAGCTATCCATGGGAGATCAGGGGCTAGGGCTGGGAACTTTGGCTCTTCTGCATGTGGCCTAACTTTTCTGACCGTATTTTAGCTGGGTTCCATCCC